GTCGTCGTCGTCGTCGTCGTCGAATTATATATACATGGTACGTGTAGCATACATACCACGTATAGTGTGCATATCATACAGAGTGAGCATAGCAGATAGAAGCGTTTTTGTTTATACATCGTAGATGTCATCTGTGTGGAACTTGCAGAACGAATACGATATGTAATATATACACACATACACACACACACATATATATATATATATACACATACATGAATGTGTATATGTACGCATACTAGTTAGTATATATATATAGAGTATACGCAGCATAAAAGTATGTGCAGTATATGCAGTATGTATATAGTGTGTATTATTATATATATATATGTATATTATAGCGTGTATATATGTATATATATAGTATATTTCGTCTATATAGTATATATACAGTATGTATATAGTAAATAGAGTATATATGTATAGTATATATATATATAATATATGTCTAGTATATGTAGAGTCCATGTATACAAACTATGTGTATATATATATACTATGTATATATACTATGTATATATACTATGAATATATACTATGAATATATACTATGAATATATACTATGAATGTATATATATATATATATATCATGTAGTATACAAGGTATATATACTATAATATGTATATATATATATGTATATATCGAGTACATATAGTATATATAGTGTGTATAAATATTCATTCTGAATATATATATATATATGTATATATTACATTAGATTATATTATATATTATATATTGTATATTATATATTATATACTATATATTATATATTATATATTATATATTATATATTATATACTATATATTATATATTATATATTATATATTATATATTATATAGTATATATATAGAGTATACATAGTATATACATAGTACATACATACATACATATATATATATACATACATATTTATGTGTATTACATCTCCCGCAGCAACAGCAACAAATCACCACCAGACAGACACAGTGTTTACAAATGGTGGGGGCTGCCCCCCCCCCCCTCCCAACCTACCGCTTTCTTGTTCTTCGCCGTGCAAGCATGCTTTCAAAAACATCGCGTCATCAGCAGGAATTGCGTCCTGCACATAACAGAGCTTTTCAGAGCCCGTCATACGGGCAGCCTTTCCTTTTGTAGACAATGCAACCAGGGCTAGTATATATAGTATACATAGTATATATATATAGTACATATTTATGTGTATTACATCTCCCGCAGCAACAGCAACAAATCATCACCAGACAGACATTGTGTTTGCAAATGGGGGGGGGTCTGCGCCCCCCAACCTCCACGCTTTCGCAAATAGATAAATAAATAAATAAATAAATATATATATATATATGTGTGTGTGTGTGTGTCTGTATATATATACGCATACTATACAGTTTTAGAATATAGTTTTTGCAGTATATGTATATGTATAGTATATGCAGTATATACAGTATGTATATGGTGTGTATAACTTGTATATAGATATAAATATATATACACTTCATATATGTATGCATATAGTATATGTATATATACTATGTATATGTATATTATATGGTATATACTATAACATGTATATCTAGTGTATAAAGTATATATATATATAGTATATGTAGTTTACATATAGTATATATAGTGTACATATATTCAGACTATATATACATAGTATATATAGTATTCTCGCTTATATATATACACAATATGTATATATATATATATGTATAGTATACTATATTCAGTGCATATTTATATATACATATATATACTTTACTTACTATATGTACTATGTCTACTATATCTGCTATATAATATGTATATACTATATATATATATATATACATATATATATATATTCATAGTTTATATGGGCATGAAGAAGGAGAGGAACTAGATATATAGAGATTTGTGAAATTATAGAGAAAATAAAGAGAGGTTTCCCCATGGAAATGCGCGGATCCACCCCCCACCCAGCACCACAAAAAAAAGGGCTAAAAACAAGACGAGGCCCAAAAAGTTCTCCACCCCAACAACAGCCGTCTGCTTGTCCGGCGAGCATATGGTCAAAGAAGTTAGTTTGTTGTTGCAGCTACGAGTTTGACGTGTCGGAACGAGAGGTGGAGATTATCGATGACGATTTTTTCGATTCCAATTTGGAGTTTGAAGTAGTGCTCGAGGATGCCAAAAACTGTGTCATCGAGCC